ACAAGCCGTTCTCTGATTGGTCGGCGTGTTCTTTAGTCTTCCTGTTGTCATGGCAGTTTGTTGTCATGATGAGCCTCTGAATGGACCTTCCAGAACCAGAACTCAGTTGATCTCCATTCACTCATTAAGTCTTTCCAGCCAATTTTTATGCAAATCTTGAGCAAACTTAAAATTTCACAAAAAAAATAAAAAATAATAAATAAAATAAAACACAAGCTGAATTAAGCGTGTCTCCTCCTCGTGGTTTGGGGCGACTCAACCCGCCAGATGCTAACGCTACGCGTTGAACAGGTTCAACTCACTTCCTTCTCTCCTTCGGCGAAAAGCCAGAAACCTCAAGCCGGCATGAAAACTTTGTGAAACTGAGGAAATTATTTTTCATTTTGAAGTTTTCATCAACTGTTTCTAATGCGATGTTTGAAACTGTGGATAAAAAAACGATGGAAACACAATTAATGAAACTTTTAGCACCAACTGTCTTAGCTCAGCTACTTCAAAGGGAGTGAATATTTATGCACTTTGACATTATTTATTTGTTGTTGGTTTTTTTTGTTTTTTGTTTTTTTTTTCTTGACAAAAAAAAAATCTGAATTTGTTGATTCTGATTTATGGAGGAAATGGAAAGGTAAAGCATGCGAGGGTGTGAATACTTTTTGCAGGCTCTGAAACAGAGAGTGACTGAAGGTTCTTCTGGAGTTTCCATTCATCTCTTATCAGAACCATTTCATCTAAAATCATTTACGGTTCAATCCTCAAAGACTTCTTCCCCAGGAAATCTACGGATCCGACAGTTTGATGCCTTATGAAGGCCGTGGATCTGGACCGACCTGCAGGGGATTCCTGGGGAACCTGCAGCTGGGGTCATGGTGACGATGGTGATGAAGGTGAAGAAGAGCAGCAGTGAGTCATGGTGAAGCTGCTGCTCCCTCTCAGGCCTCCAGGAGAAAAAGGGGAAGCGAAAAGGGCTGACGGAGAAAAGCCGGCTGCTCCTCGTTTTCCTGTTTGTGTCGATTTGGGACTAACTGAGAGAAGTCAGCACTCCGCTGCATCATGTGTCCAACCTGCAGCTCGCATGATTCTCTAAACACGAGCCTCTGGGTCTGCAGGCCGACATGAGGAGAAAACACAAAACCCTGCAGCTGTTTGCATCTGGACCTGCAGCGCTGCAGGGACGAACGTCCTGAAAGCCGCTCTGCTGTTATCCAGGCCGATAAGCGCTGCTGCACTTTGCTCAGCCAGACTGATATCTGCAGGTCAGCCTGAGGTCCCGACCGACTAACGCAGCGGCGGCGGGTCGAGGAGCGACTGCAGCGCCGTTATCTGACTGCTGCTGCAGCAAACACTCACACCGACGCCCCAACAACCAGACAGACTGATAAAAAGAAAGAAAGCTTTACTGAGAATAATAAGAAATTCGGTTGTATTTCTTCAAAACAAAAGTCAATCTGAGAACATAAACTGTAAATTATGAATGAAGGAAAACTCAGCTGCATGCTGCCTACAGAACTTCATTCTGGGATGTTTTTACCTCCAGTCTGGATTCAGTGCATGAAGGCTCTGATGTTTTCACCCGAGCTGCAGAGGCGGGCACTCAGCATATTAACTGTTAGATATTAAAAATGACCAATAAGGTCGATTACTTCAGCTCAGCGTTTGAGGCGTTGAGTAGGACTTTTAGGAAAACTTTTTACTCCAGCAGTTTTATCAGGAACAATCTTTTTTGTTCCACCGTTACTGTTCCTCTGATTAAGAAGCGCCAAGTTCTGCTTTAGCTTTTCTATGTTGGCGCCAGACTAGGCTTGTTATAAAAGATTATTTTAGTAATTGAATATTCTGTTGATTATTCGGATGATGAGTAATCAGATTAAAAAATGTGATCAATGTTAATATCAACATCAGAGCATCCCCAATAATTACTTCTCTGTATAGAAAATTAACCTACAATAACAGCCCACTTTTTACATTAACCTAGATAAAATTATACAAAAATCTGAAATTAAATTCAAATTATAAAGCAGTAGCCTCACAAAGACACTTCTAGAAAATGTCTGTACTCCAGAGTTTGGTTTATGTTTTCATGTTCAGTCAGCTTAACAGATGAACTCTCACTTTGCCCAGACATTTATAGTTTTTGTTTCTCAGATGAGCATCGGGNGCCTCATAACAAACTGCTACATCATGACAGCTTTAACAAATATGGAGAAAACATATTTTTTATTAAAGTTATGTACTGCAGCTTGAATAAAATGCATCTACATAGCATTTTTAGAAGTCTGGATTACTTTATGTGTATTTTGCACGTTGCTTTTGACTGTTGCTCATGGGGAGAGACATTTCAGTATCTAAAACTAATAGAAAAAATTTAAGCAACCTACTTGCATAATCGATGTTAAATTCATGAGCAGTAAATATTGTGCTAATTATCAGAATTGAACCAAAGAAAGCAAAGCAGATGAAGACCTTTAAAATTGTGACGCTTTTTATGGGTCAGATAGACTCAAAAAATTTTAACAGCAGCTGTGCGGGGGGCCAATCTAATTTTTTGTCATAGGGCCCAAGATTCCTGGCAGCGCCCCTGGGTGTAAATACTTTGGCAGGACTCTGAACCGCTCCAGAATCAGACACCTGCCAAAGCAAACAGACTGAGCCACTCCAACTCAAACTGTCTGGGAGCCAAAACTAATCAATCACAGATCTTCAGGCCAGATATTTTCCAGCCAGGACAACAAGTTGAGAAACTGTGTTTGTGACATTAACCCATTAAAGTCCAGCTCTGCGCTGACCCACTGGGGGCCGACGGTGGGCAGAGCAGGCATCTCATTGGTCAGTCTGTGTGTGACATCAGAGTGACGCTCCGACCTCGTCTTCCAGGTGACCAGCCGTTCCCCTGCCTTGCGGCTTACGGAGCATCCAAGGCGGCGCTGAACCTGTTCACTGAAACCCTGAGGCATGAGCTGGTTCCCTGGGGGGTCAAAGTGAGCACCATCCTGCCGTCCTCGTATAAGACAGGTAAGCCCCGCCCCCAGACGCCGACCTGGCATCACATGCAAGGGGCAGCTGCAGGGACTCGTTTCCTTAGATTAGTGTTTCTTTCTGTTTTGTGTTTTGGTGAGTTTTAGATTGGGCTTCAGGTCGATTTAGAGAAAGCAGCATTGCTAATATGTTCATACTATATCTCTCCCCCTTGGATCAGAACCGCTAGAGCTAAAACAGTGGGTTTTCAACATGCAGCCACATGAGCGCATATCATGATCGGTCATTTAGAATCAATCTTCAAAATCTGGTATGAAGCTAATAATACAAGAAAACCATAAAAATATTTCATTTGAATCAGTGAAGCGGCATAACTGTCAATTGTTTGGTTAAAATCTATTTTTCCATTTTTGGTCACCAGTTGTAAGAGTTGATCAGAGCATCAAATGGCATATCGAGGAGTCCTAAATGTGCTTTTCACACCAATAAGAGCTATGCTTCGTTTGTAGGAAGACTTTAAAGAACCAGAAAAACTAGAGACGCTAGCATCACAGATATATAGATATTTATGTATTGGAAATTTTTCATAATCAGACAAAACCTTAAACACAGCAGACAAAATGACAGCAGAGCAGAGGAAAAGCAGGCTTATACTGAGTTAATGCTAACAAATAACACTGAGCTAATGCTAGCAACTAAAACTGAGCTAATGCTAACAACCCATACTGCGGTAATGCTAACAACCCATACTGCGGTAATGCTAACAACCAATACTGAGCTAAGGCTAACAACCAATGCTAAGCTAATGCTAACAACTTAAACTGAGCTAATGCTAACAATCAATACTGTGGTAGTGCTAACAACTAACACTGAGCTAATGCTAACAACCAATACTGAGCTAAGGCTAACAACAACTGCTGAGCTAATGCTAACAACCAATACTGAGCTGAGGCTAACCACCAATGCTAAGCTAACACTAACAACCAATACTGAGCTAATGGTAACAACCAACAGTGAGCTAACACTAGCAACTAAAACTGAGCTAATGCTAACAACTAAAACCGAGCTAATGCTAACAACCACACTATCTTCTCTTCCTAGCTCCCTCCAGCAACAACGCCTACTGGGAGCAGCAACACCAGCAGCTCCTCCAGAGTCTGCCTCCAGCGCTGATGGAGGAATACGGCGAGGACTACATCGCCGAGACCAAGAACCTGTTCCAGAGCTTCGCCGAGCACGCCAACCCAGACCTCAGCCCCGTGGTGGATGCCATCGTCCATGCGCTGCTGTCGCCTCAGCCGCAGGCGCGCTACTACGCCGGGCGCGGCCTCGGCCTCATGTACTTCCTGTACGACTATTGTCCAATCAGCATCAGGAACCGCTTCCTCCAGAAACGCTTTCTGAAGAAGACGCTGATGCCGCGCGCGCTGAGGAAGCAGGATGGGTCTGCAGGCGAACCTCGGCCTCAACAACAACGGCAGCAGCAGCAACAGTGAGGATGAGCTGCAGAAGCCAGAGGAACACTTTGCTCTTGAACCCACTGCTGGAGGGACACAGAGAAACAGAAAAGCAACAACAAAATCTAGAAACCACAGAGGTGACAAGAACAGAAGTTCCTAAACATTTCAGATATAAATCAGAAACTAATCAATAACCAATCAGGCATCTTCACATTTATGGTTTTAGTAAACTACTTTTCAGACTTTTTTCCAGATAAGGAGCAGTTGCTTTGTTAAATTTAACTGAGCCTGGTTTAAGACATGTTAAACTGTTTTCACAGTTTAACTAAGTATTTTATTCATAAATTTCAATTCAAAAATACAACTCCTTGTTGATCTGAGGAAATATTTTCATTTTCTGTGTTGTTAAAAAAAGTGAAACAATAAAAACATTTAGTTTATTCTCTCATTTCATTTTTTTTTATCTGCATGACCCACTGGCTGATGCTATCCTTTATATTCTATTATTTTCTGTTATTATTTTGATTTCAATTTATTATAACAAATATAAATACAAGCCCGGACGGGAATCAAACCCCGACATCTGCATAAAGACTGTAATCCAGAGTTTATTACCCCGATGCGTCATATGTCGCTAGGCGGGTCCTGGCTGACGTTGACCAATAGGAGCAGATTTAGAGCGTTACCGAGGAAACGGCGTACAAGGCTACGTGACGGTGAGGGGCTACAGGAGCGCAGCTAGCGGAACAGCGGACCGAGGCGCAGCTTCTACATTATAATTTTTTGTTTTACTGATTACTGATAAAAAAAAAAAAATATTTCCGGCAGCGGTTTGGATCTCTGCCGAGGCTGACGCTTCCGTGGCCGGGGTGGGAGCTCAGTCCGGCGCCCTGAGGTTAGTTTGCCAGTTAGCACGGGACCACAGAGCGGGCTAGACCTCATTGCCTCTCCCGGACTGTGGGCTCTGCTGCGGGGATGGAGCTGAGCTAGCCGCCGGGCTGGGACCGTCTGGCCTGGTTCTGACCTGATTTTTCCGCACAGCAGCCCGTTTCCTTTCGGAGACCGAGCCAGGGATGCGGGATGAGATGAGGCGCCGCGGACCGAACCTGAAACCCAGACCCGACCAGTCGTGTTAGCCAGGTGAGTTGCCTCCAGAACCGGGCTCGGTTCGACTAGAGGAAGCGTCTCAGGTCAGATGGATCCCCCACACTGAATCAATGATTATCAAGATTGAACTGATAATTTCTGTCGGGATATTTTCATGTTCAGTTTAATGATTTAACGATGAAAACAGTGCAAGAGGCTAAAAGGCTAAAACATGTATTAAAATAACACCAGCAGCTTTCTATGAAATATGTGTCCAACTGTAGATCAGTTCAGTATGGATTATTGATCCTGACGTCATCGTAAGGGAGCTTTCCTATTGGTCCATGTCCTGTCAGCTTCTAGTGGATCACTGGTCTCATTCTGGTCTAGTTCGGTTCTAATTATTATCAGGACAATCTGAGTCAGCTGATTATAATATAGAAACCCAGCCACCAAGCATGTGGTGACAGTGGAGAGTACCACTGTCTTTCAGCAGGAAACCTCCAGCAGAACCAGAACCTGTGATAATGCAGCAGCGGTCTGATCTGGAAAACCCTCAGAATTATGGTGCCAAGCTGGCTCTCTGTGACTAGTGAAGGAACTAGACCGGCCTGCAGCTTTAACCTTTAATCTTATGCATAAAATGCATAAAAATGCAAACAATTATTTTTTTTAAATCTAAAAGTCAAAAACAGGATTTGATTATGGATCATCTGTAGCAAAGAATCTAAAAATCCCCGGACGGTTCTGGTGGAACAGTTTTACAGAAACAGGTTTTTATCTTAAATGTTTATATTTATTGATCAATTTTTATCTATCTTATTCCTACGCCCCATGATGCTTTGTGTGAATTATGGGTGTGACTTCCGCCGCAAGCCGGAACTGCCATTTGTTTACATGTTACCCTAACGCTAACCGTCAGGGTAACATGACTCACTTGCTTCAGATGCAGATGTGGGTTATCTTGAACTTGCTGCAGCCACGAACTAAATGTGGTCTGATTATTAGGGAACATCTAATAATCAGTAACAACAGTTCCCGAGCTCCACAAGGGCATCTTACGACACTTCCCAGTGGCAAGTTTCTCTCAATAACGGGTTGATGTGTGGTTCGGTTCGGTTCTAGTCCAGTGGGGAGATTCAGTGTTGCGCAAGACCTGGAGCGCAGCAGCTGCGGTTATTTCTCTGCTGATTTGCAGCGACAATCAGGGAGATCCTTGAGGTTCTGGTTGTGATGGATTAAATAAATCCAGATATTTTATTTTGTCTAATAAATAAAATGTTCCAGGCCAAATCATAATGATAAAGACTCAGATCATGAACTTTATTATTTTTTAAATTCAAACGAAAATAAGATTGACCTCACACCGAGCTGATATTGTGTAGTTCTGGTGTTTTATACTGTCGGAACAACTCAGATCTATGATAGATCTCAGATCTTCTCTGCTTTTCTTTATTCCTGTCAGAGAAACGAGCTGCTAGCAGCGATGCTAATTCATTCCGGTACAAAACTTACCGATCTTGTTCCTGTCGCTCCTCTGATTAAACTCCTAATTACGATCCTCTGCACTGAGCAGCTCTCTGACAGCAGACGGTGTCCGTGAACAAGTTTAACTAAACATTGTATTAAAACCGAAAAGAGAGATGTAACTTCTATCATGAACATAGATTAGCAAAATAAACCTACAAATTACAATGAAATAATGCTACTTCCGCTAGCTGCCGGAAGTAACACCCATAATCGTTTCCCCAGTAAGCCCCCCAGGAATAAGGTCAATAGTTATTGGTGATTATTCCAACAATCGTCTGAGCTCCAGATGTGAACCACTGACCAGTTGGACCAGTCCGGAGTAATGAGACCAGTGGTTCCAGAACCAGGAGCTGAACGGATCTAGTGATTCTGGTTCTGGGTGAAGCTTCAGACTGATGATGCACACCCCTCCGCCCCCCCCCCCTCAGGGATGGAGGTGTGTGGCAGGAACCCGAACCGCACGGCGCCGACCCCTGACCCCCGGCGCTCCGAGGTGCCGCTCAGCTCGCGGACCAACGGCTGGAGCTGGCCGCCTCACCCCTTCCAGCTGTTGGCCTGGCTGCTCTACGTCTACTTCGCCATCACTGGCTTCGGCGTGTTCGTCCCGCTGCTGCCGCCGCACTGGGTCCCCGCGGGCTACATCGTATCCTTGCTGCTGCTGTCCGGGGTCAGAGGTCAAACCGCGTCACCCCGTGCCTCTTGTTGAGATTGTGACCGATTGAGCAGAGAGGGCCGGTTTTAGTCGCGTTCCTGATCTTCCTGAGGAGATCCAGAGTTTGCAGCTGTAATTCTGTATTCACAGAATTACACAAAAATGATCAAAATAAACTTACTTAATGGAAACAACAATTTTGAAAACACTGGTTCTGATAAAAAGTTTTAAATGTTTTGGCGCTGGGATGAAGTGGTTTTCAGCTGCATTTAAATAGATTATTTTCAAAACTGCAATGGAAACATTTTAATTGCTTCATCCAAGTCAGATTATCAACAGATGGATGTTACTTCTGGTGGAAACGCAGAAGACGACGACAGGAAGTGGCAGGAGGAGGATGTTGGTTTTTGGCTCCATCACAGCTTTACTTCATTATGTCATTTCAATATGTTGAATTCATAACTGTTTTGGGAAATCTCAGTTTCCCCAAAACGCCGCATACATTGCCTCCTAAGTAGGCGGGGCTTGTTGCGCCAACGCCTGAGGAAGGCTGACGACTCCTCTGATTAGCTGATGGTGATGAGCGCGAGCGGCTGGATTATTATCTCATGTAAATGTTTACATCCATCTCTGCATGGTTTTTAACGACTAGTGAACAAAGTTATTAATGTCCTTTCTTCTTTAATGGAAACACTACAAATGTGAAATTGTATCTTTTTAACATCAGTAGAATATTGACAAAGATTTTCAAACATTAGTAACAGAAATGCAGCAACAAAAAACAAAAAAGCTGCAGGAAACGTTGGGACCGAGCGAGTCCGGCTCCAGGTCTACAGGTGTCTCCTAGTCTCCACCTGTTGCTGGTCCCTAACCGCTGCTCAGTGCACCGGCATCCTGTTCGTGTCCCACCTGTGCGTTCACGTCCTGGCCGTGTCCGTCGACCCGGCTGACCTCAACGTGAGGATGAGGAGCGACAGAGGGCCGGTCCCCGCCTTCGACCGCTCCAAACACGCACACGTCATCGAGAACTGCCACTGCTACCTGTGCCAGGTGGATGTGTGAGTAACGGCCTCAGAAACCGCTGCAGGTGTGTTTACCTGCGCCACCGCTTAGGGAGTCATTAAATCGGCCTCAGGAGGTCGGAGTGCCCCCCTCAGGCCGCTCACAGCCGCAGCAGCTCAGTCAGCCGGTTCAGCTCCGACTCACAGGAGCAGCTTCTGCTCAGAAAACACGGCTTCATATAAAACCGCCACGATAAGTAAAACATGGAGGACAGAGCTGCTGTTTCTGTCTCCTTCCAACCGGCCAGGAGGCAACACGTGGCACTCAGGGCCTGTGAGGTGGAGCATGATGGGAGCTGAATCCAGATCAGTGGGATGTCTCCTGGGACAGGAAACCTCCCATGATCCTCTGCTGCCCATCCAACATCTGAAGCACATTTCAAGTTCACCTCACTGTAGCAAACAGGAAGGGGCGGAACGGACCGCTGTCAGTCTGATACCTTATTTGGAAATGGGATCATTGCAATCCGGAAGTGAAGGGGGCGCCATTTCCTGTACTTCCGTTTTTATTTTATTTTGAAAGCTGTGATATATTTTCACCTTAAGGAAGGAGTTTCACTCTCAGAATGTATTTTAACTTATTTATTTTATTTTCTTCAGCGCAGCTCAGTTTTTAGCAAATTCTGTAGCTTTCGGTTATTTCTAAATCTGCTCCTAGTCGCACTATTTCGGGCCTGCTACTGCCTCTAGTGGCGTGGGGTGGTAACACAACTAATCTACGGTAATTACATTACTAAATCAGAATACCACAACGTCTTTATTATTTATTATTAATTCTGGCATTACTGGCACCGTAAAAGATAAATTATCTTATAAAACAAGATATTTTTTCATTTTCTTAAGGATGTAGAGCTAATTAAATGACAAACAATACTTTTGTTTTTATTTTAAAGGTTTTGTTGGCCCTAGTGGCCTTTGTTTGAAAGTAGTTCGACAGGAAAGAGGGCAATGAGAGAGAGGGAAGACATGCGGCAAACGCCACCAGGCCGGGAATCAAACCTGCGACCACTGCCATGAGGACCAGGGCCTCAACGCGTGGGCTGCGCTCCGCCCCTGCGCCACCACAGTACCCCTAACAAACAATACTTTTGTACATTATAATAATTTCTATATATCTCCATCATTTATAGGAGGAACAAAAGACATAAGGAGACATGAAAGACAACATGATCAACTATAATAAAAATAACATTTGCAATGTAAGAAATTTAATTGAGCAAAAGTCAATGACAAACAAATGAATTAGGTAGAGAAGAATAACAACCCAGGTTGTTACAACCAGGGTTGTTAAACAGATATAAGCAAAAATTCACATCTTTGTTTTTACAGTGCCATGTATATTGTTGAGACATTTTGTTGTAGAGTCTTATATATATATAGAAAAAACAATATGAAACTATTTAATCTATCAACGAGGAAATCTTCCTTTGACTCTAAAATGATAAATCATATTCATGAATCACATTATTACACGGCCCATCTGTGGTGACAATGCAAAAAAAAGCAGCCTGCAGAAACTTTATGTGTCCTACAATGATGGCATGAGGCTCAAAGAGCCTCGATGGAGCAGTGCTAGACATAAGTTTGTACATAAAGCTGTTCCCACATGTGCAGCTGAGCTCAGGAATCTTATGTATAAATGCATGTGTAGATTATCTGTGTCATGCAATAATATGATTGCATTTTTAGTAAATCCTGCTTTTAGTGCTGTGAGATTCTCTTCAAGATTATGAAATCATGGCGTCATCATTTATTTGTGACTCAGTGAATAATACCATGTCATGTCTATTTTTAGTTTATTTTGCTTGTTTTCACCTTTTTTCTATGGACCTTTTATGTGTCTGGAATAAAGATTTGATTGATTGATTGATTGATTGATTGGTTGATTGATATGATTATCAACAATTTGTGAATAGAGTAAAACACTTAGTATGCTATAGGTAAATATTATTTAGTTTGGTTGAGAATAATTATTGCACTGTCAATAAATGACGTCTAATAAATGTTCTTATTGCCAGAGGAACAGCAACACCTTCATGATCTCAGAGGTTCAAACTGATAAATAAAGAGGATGGATGATCTCTGCTGAAATATTCCTGCCATCTTTCATGTTCTTTCAGCAAACAGTTGAGACAGAGATGTTTTTGGTTTCACCATCATTTACCTGCTGTTATACCTGCCATTCAAAGTATTCTTAAAAGATTCTGTTAGTCTGCAGCTCATGTGACCAAACCACCGAGGAGATGAAAAGTTAAAACTCAAGTTAAAATGTTTAGTTTTAGCATTTTAACTCAACAACCTCTACCTAACTAGAGGTTATATACAACCTTAAGTTGGGTAACCCCAAGGTCTTCTTAATAGATAGAGTCTCTGAGAACAGTTCTTAAAGATATAGTCAGTGTTTTCAGCAAAGTTGAGCTGACTGTCCAGGAATGACACAAGGATTTTAAAATTTGCCACAGTTTCAACAGGTTGGCCATCAAGTGAAACTGGAATCACTTTCAGTTCTTGTTCATCTCATTTAATTAGCTCTACTTCCTTAAGAAAATGAAAAGGTATGTTCTTTTGTGAGGGAATTTATCTTTTACTGCTCCAGTAATGCCAGAATTAATAATAAGTAATAAAGACTTTGTGGTATTCTGATTTAGTAATGTAATTATATTAGTTGTGTTACCACCCCCACGCCACTAGAGGCAGTAGCAGGCCCGAAAAGATGCGACTGAGGAGCAGATTTAGAAGTACACCGAAAGCTACAGAATTTGCTAAAAACTGTGAGCTGCGCTGAAGAAAATAAAAGAAATAAGTTCAAATACATGCTGAGAGTGAAACTCCTTCCTAAAGGTGAAAATATATCACAGATTTCAAAATAAAATAAAAACGGAAGTATAGAAAATAGCGCCCCCTTTTGGAAGTCCAAAAGACTTCCAAATAAGGTATGAGACTGACAGTGGTCTGTCCCGCCCCTTCCTGTTTGCTGCAGCGAGGTCCTTCTCGCAGATTTAACCTGGCATGCTGCATTGCATTCTGGGGAATGTAGTGTTTTACTTCACTTGGAGTGTGTGTTGTTTCAGGGGACCCAAGTCGAAGCACTGCAGCGCCTGTAACAAGTGTGTTGCTAACTTCGACCACCACTGCCGCTGGCTCAACAACTGTGTGGGCAGCAGGAACTACAAGTGAGTACTTCCTGTTTCCTCATGTCAGCTGGCGGGTTGAAGGAAGCTCTGCAGGTGAAAACACAAGAAAGCATCAGGAGGAACAGCAAGTCCTCCTGTCAGTCTGAAGCACAACTACATGTCGGATCAGCTGATTCTGATCTGGCTCTACTGCTGGGAGGAGCCCAGATTTGGGTATTAAAATGTTTTTTATTGGTCTGAAATTTTCATTGGTTGGAAGCAGAAAATCATCATAATTAACAGAAGAAAGTGTTGAAGACATGAATATGATGTGTGACTTAATATTGTATAATATTCCCACTTATTGAGATGCAGCAGCTTGTTGAGGGGATCACAGTTCTGCTGCGTCATGACCGGGTTCCTTTCTGCTCCATCTGGACGCCACGTTGGTCACACCTGTGTTACTGTCCTCTTTGTGACTTCTGATTGGCTGATCCACTGCAGTAGGGCGGGGCAGGACATGTGTCTTCTCGTGTCCCCCTGTCCTGCAGGTTGTTCCTCCACAGCGTTGTCTCCGCTCTGCTGGGCGTGTCTCTGGTTCTGCTCTTCGCCTCCTACGTCTTCGTCGAGTTCTTCAGGGACCCGTCCAACCTGCGCACCGACAAACACTTCCTGGGTAAGGCTTGACCTCTGACCCCGTGGAACAAGGCTTGTAGCTTGGAGTGTGAGACGGAATGTGTTTGCTGTGTCCACAGTCCAGAATCAGACAGGTGTGTGGTTCGTCTTCCTCCCTATGGCTCCTCTCAGGTCAGCGGCCGCCGTCATCCCGGTTCTGGCTGCCGTTACCATGGCAATGGGCCTGCTGTCGTCGGGGCTTCTCTGCCACTTGCTCTGCTTCCACATCTACCTGAGTAAGAGCCTCACCTGTCTCACCTGTGTCCCCCGCCGGCCGCTATGGCTCACCTGGAGCCGTGTCTCCTCAGTGTGGAACAGACTCAGCACCTATGAGTACATTGTGCGACAGCGCCACCGCCTGGACAGCAGAGACCCCAGGACATCCACTGCAGCTAAGCAGAGACGACGCCCGTCCGTCGTCCAGGTAACGAACTGCTCACCTGAGCGGCCCAGCCTGCCGCTGCGTCCTGACGCCTCTGCTGTCCCAACAGGATGTGAACTACTCAGGGACCCTGGGGTACACCAGCCCCCGGCTGGACATCCAGCAGGGACAGGCGGACACCTGTGCTGGTTCCGATCGGGTCCCCAGGTAACGCCCAGTCCTTGTTGCCATGGAGACTGCTGTCTCTGACTCCCAGGAAGCAAACAGAGTGTGTGCTGTGTGTCTGAGCTGAGGGAGTGTGTGTTATAGAGAATCGTCCCGTATTCAACCGATACGGGACACGATTTGTTCGACACACATCGACACTAGGGCTGTATAATTAAATCGATTCTACAATATGTATTGATTTTTCATCCGCGAGTATCGATACATTAGACCACAGGGGTCCATAGCCGCATACGTCTGGTTTGTGACGGCTTGGCAGCCAGACTCCGCCTCCCCCAGTCCCACTTTCAACTTGTGCTTAAAGTGCACATTATAAACTACACACCAGTTTTTAAATTGCGTTAATAGGCCAAGTAAAACCGGAGTTATGCTAAAATAAGTAAACCATATTTACCATATAAGTAAACCGGCTTTTCCGGTTATGACAGGAAATGAGCTTCCAAAGGTAAAAATGAAACGCAACGTTAGATTCCTTTGATTTTAGAAATCTCAAATCTTCAATAAATAACTATGGGATGTATTTTGTTGCTAAGAAACAAAGTAAAGTTGCTCAAGTAACCGTGAAAAAGAAGCGGATCGGAGCAGCGGCAAAAGCAGTGAGATCGCGAAATTATTGCAAAGTTTGGACACAGGAGCGATCGGTGGCATCCGCTGGGTGATTTGTTTTTAGCCTAGTGGTTTCTGCTCTGTATGTGAAGGATTACCTGAAGAGTCAACGCGCAGCAGCAGCGGCGCTCTGCTTGGAGCAGGAAGACGGAGAGGGGAAACCCGCAGCCATGACGACGATGGCAGATCAATCATTCTTATTGGTAACTGACAAACAGTATCAGAGACTGAGAGAACGATGAGAGGCAGATACTCAGATATACAAGAGGGGAACGGCGGCGCTGCAGCTGCCAGGACTCGATCACTACGGGGTGAGGCGGAGCCGCTTCCCCAGCAGCTAGTAGTAAGCGGCTTACAGCCACGGCTAACTCCGGGAGCCAAGGTAGAAAAGCCTTTTTCCCATAGTCCAAAAGACTTTATTTTACCCCCCTACTCCAATCAGAGCCAGGTAGTGTGTAGTTGATGCTTTTAATCAGTTTTCAGTTAATTAAATCCAACTGAAAACTGATGAAATCCAAGTCTATGGAACACAAACTGTCANGATTGATTGATTGATTGATTGATTGATTGGTTTTCTTAAAAGGTAGAGTCTCTGAGAACAGTTCTTAAAGATACTGTTCTCAGAGAGGTGCGGGTACCGTCCCCCCTGGTTGAAAAGGGGCGCAGGTTTTAATTTTTTTAAAATGTTTTTATCTCTATTTTTTATTTATTTATTTTATTGTTTATTCATTGTTACATGACTCTGTGTTTCTGTTTTTAATGTAAAGCACTTTGAAATGCCTTGCTGCTGAAATGTACTATACAAATAAAATTTTATTGATTGATTGATATAACCAGTGTTTTCAGCAAAGTTCTTTTACTGTTCCAGTAATGCCAAAATTAATAGTAAATAATAAAGACTTTGGTATTCTGATTTAGTAAATATATTAGTTGTGTTACCACCCCCACGCCACTAGAGGCAGTAGCAGGCCCGAAAAGATGAGACTAAGGAGCAGATTTAGAAGTACACCAAAGCTACAGAATTTGTTAAAAACTGAGTTTTGCTGAAGTAAATAAGAAATAAGTTCAAATACATTCTGAGAGTGAAACTCCTTCCTACAGGGGGGGAGCTGTGGTGGCGCAGGGGCGGAGCACAGCCCACACGCTGAGGCCCTGGCCCTCATGGCGGTGGCCACAGGCTCGATTCCCAGCCTGGTGGTGCTTGCCACATGTCTTCCCTCTCTCTCATTGCCCTCCTTCCTGTCAAACTACCTTCAAATAAAGGCCACTAGAGCCAACAAAACCTTTAAAAAGAAAAAATATATCACAGATTTTAAAAGAAAATAAAAACTGGAGACCACGAATAATATAGGAAATAGCGCCCCCTTCACTTCCGGGGTGCAATGGTGCCATTTCCAAATAAGGTACAAGACCCAGCAGACATACCTTTACTGTACCTTTTTAAAAAATCTGTTTTGTTGTAGCTGATCTTTTTAGCAGCAGGATTCCTAAACAGAGACCAGTCCACCATGTTGGGTGTGACTTTATGACCCAGACCGTTCTGACCCTTGACCCCTGCTGTGACTTTGACTGAGTGAGCACCGGACCGGGCCTGACACAGAGGGAACAAGTTACTCTGCTTCAGTAACAGCTGGACAGAACTGGACCAGTGAGGTAAGGTAATTTTATTTATACAGCACATTTTCAGCAACAAGACAATTCAAAGTGTCTTTCTTTTCTTTACACCCTTGTCCCTTAGTGGGGT